TATTATAATCATGGAATGTAATAGATTCTTGTATTATCCCAAACAAGTCATACCATTTATAAGGTCTGCTGGGCTGCATTTCAAGTTCAGGCAGGGCCCCGCTAGTGATTCACTCACATTGTGTTCTTATACACAATCAAAATGTTATTTTTGGCTCGTGTTTTTGTGATCTTGCTGGTGTCTCTTGTATGTCCAGCAATAACTTCACAGACTGTGCCACTTTTCACTTCGGCCCACGGAGACAGGCCAGAATAATGATGAACTAAATGATGGTTCGAGGGTGGGGGGGGACTACTTCCTGGTAAAAAGGCTTTGGCTACACTGGCAAGAAATGCGGCCAGCTTGAATCTTTTTATTCACCACATCTGCAGCACGTACAGCCAAGACAAGGCGCTCGTTCTGTGGCTGCTGTGTCTTCAGTTTTTAGACCCAGTGCAGCACCGTCAAAGTTTGTCTCAGAGTTGTTGTAATATGGGGAAGCTAACATTTGCAGGCCATGGAAGAGATGACGGTCCTCAGTACACAACTGGCAAAACAAGTCCCAGTAGGGTGATCAAGGATAATTAAGTCAAATTTAGCTCCATTTAGTTTCAATTAAGCATCCAGCTACTCATAAACAATCAGATGACTGACAAAGACACAACTGGTCACTGGTTACTCATCTGATCCCAGCTTCTCACGTCAGGTTTGTTGGTCTTTTCATGCATGTAAATCATCATGAACTGAAAATATCTGGGTTTTGGGGTTTTCTTCCCCCAACATATGAATTTATATATATATTGAAATGGAATAAAATAATTGCTCTTTCTGAAATGTGTGTGTTTACTACACTATACACACACACATCACACCTGTGAATCAGCCTCTTGTGCTTCCAATGCAGCGCTGTGCATTCATTCACGCCAGTCAGAGCTGTGGGAGCACATCATTTAACTTTAATGTAAGGGTTCACCTCCCAGTAAACCACCACACCTGGCTGCCTGTGTTCATTACTTCCCCGGCCAGTTGGATCAGCTGGCTGCCTAGTTGACTCAATAGCGATTGAACACACTTCCTGCGTGCATACCCTGCTCGCGTACCGACTCACACATTGACTACCTGCCCGGCCGAATGACAAACAAGCCCATAACCTGCCTCTACTCCTGCCTGCCGGTTGCCCTTCACTATAACACCGACGACACAGTGAACCCGACAGCCTTACAACACCGCATGTCACCTCCATGGTTAAATCATGAAACGGACAAACAGCATGACAATCACGCAACGTACCACTCGCTGACCGTTCCCCCCCAAACGGCACTGAGGTTGTTGCTCTCACAGAGAAATCAATATCCTACAATGATTAAGCTTGACGCGGCGTATTGGCTGTTCAGGTCCGGCCAGGTTCACAAAGGAAGCAGAGACAATGCACGACTTTTTGTTGAACGTCAGCAGCTGAGTCGTTGCGAGCGAGGACGAGTTGACGGATGCGAGGCAGCTGAGCCGAAGCATCCATCAAACATGTGCATGCCATGCCGACAAAGGCAGTTCCCAGAAAACAGAACTTCAGCACATTTAGTCCCAGTAATGTCTCACACCAGCACTGTGAATATGCCTTTTGTGTGACTCATTCTCACTTCAAATGCGTCTTTTAATTCATTCTTTCTTTTGTGTTTGGTCCATTTGCATCACTGCCACCTTCAACATGACTCAAGCCTAATTTGAGTGGGTTGTACTGGTACAATTACCCAACCTTTATTGCCAAAGCAGGATGTAAAGCGACAATCAGGGATCAATTAGCTGAATAAAAAGATGACTGCACGCTGCTCCATGCTGACACACCTGGAAGCGTTTTGTAAGGAGGTTTTCGTGACAAATAAAGGCCACCAAAGCTGCCATTTGAGAAAATTCTAACATGATCTGTGAGATTGTGGAGTCTACAGCTCTGTCTTTCTTTTTGTCTCTCCTTGGAAACAAGATAAGCGCAGTCTGTCCTTCCTGGGCCGCAAGTCTGATGAAAGACTGCTTTCTGTTGCTTCTGTCACTTGCTCTGTTATCTCTGCTGGTGACTTGCCTTGAAGTCTGCACAACAGGAACCTGCTACAAGAGTTCTGTAACGGAGCCAGACCCATAACACTAGATGTTTTTCATGGAAGTCGCGTATTGTCACGCAAACAGTTGGTGGTTGCAGCTTCACAAATGAGAGGAGGTGTTTGTTTTTCCCCCCGTTATGCATCAGATTCATCAATTGACAAAAAACAGCGTCAACCATTTCCGTAACTGTCTGTTTAACTCCTGTGGAGCAGCAAATGGAAACTCATTTGTAAGGGTTTCAGCAGTTATTGTTTAAAACTGCTATCTTTGGATTTTTATTTTTTACTGTTGCTCAGTTAAAACAAACAACTTTGAGGAAATTAACCTGCAGCTTTTTAGATTATTTTACCTTTTTTTAATACAAAAAATGTCTGGAAATTTACAACTTTTATGCTTTTGTTGGTCATTTATTGTCTTTAAACCAGCCACCAAAAAAAAAGCCTTGTAAGTGTTTAAACCAGTCCTGTTCACTTGGGTTTCATTTATTAGGTACAATGTGCATTTTGGTTTATCAAATGGTCAAAAAAATACACTGATTTCTGTCAGATACAGCAACATGGACTCACTGATTTTACTGTACACAAACAGTAAAAGCAACGAGTCACCAAACGCCCTTTCAGAGCCAGAAAAACCCTGATTTAGAATTAATATCTCTGAGTTCTGGACTGTTGGTCCGATAAAACGAGCATTTACAATTAGTCAGGCAGATTAGGAGAACTTATAATGAGCATTTCTTGGCTGTTTTATAATCAGTGAAAGAGTTAATCGGACAAAATCATCTCTGGAGGCATCAATATCAAATGAAAAACTATTTTTAAAGACCACAGCTTCGCCCAAGACCACGGTTTACCCGCCACAGGCGAAGCAGTACCTGGGTTTCTGGAGTTTCTTAAGACTTAGCCTTGGATTTTTAATCTTGTGCATAAAACACTGCAAATATTTAGTTAATTTCATAAAAGCAAAGCTGAGTGAGCTTGAGAGGACTGGCAGAGATAAGAAATGATAATCTAGGGAACACATTGATTTTAATCACACTTAGACTAGTTGTGGATATAATTTGAAGACGTCGCTCTGGGCTCTAGGACAACGTGTTTTCTAACATTTTAAAGCCTTAACTAATAATTAATTACCACAAACAGTGAGGATAGTCAGGGGCAGAGCCAAGAGGTGGCCACATCAGGGCTCACAGAACCATCCTCAGCCTACTGTAATATCAACAAGTCAACAAGCAGGAATTGGAACGAGCATTCTAGATTTGTTTTTAACTAACTTATGGTTACCTAAAATAGGCCCACAATATGTGAGTCCTTGTGGTGCACTTCTACACGGCAGTCATACCTTCATAAGCGGTTTAAAAAATAATAATAATTAGATATTAGATAATAAGAATCAAGAAAATATATGAATTTAGATTACATTAGTTGAAGCCGTTCATTAGAGTAACAAATGGTGGAGACAGTCCTTAGTCTCAGCTTTAACTTTTAAACATAAAGACACGCTTGCCATTATTTGTGCAGTTCTAGACGACAGCTGCTCAATATATTGATAAGAATTGACTCCAGTGTCACAAAGCTAATAGATGTCACTTGTTTTCTCATTTTATAAGCAGCTGATTGTTTGTAGATGAACAAAATGTGAATGAGATTTTCTTGGGCCTGCTTAGGCTGAGTTCCTGATCATCTGGGTGATATATTCATTTTGATTACAGTTACAGCTGCAGACATCATTTGAAGACACTGCCTGGGGCTATGGGACCTTTTATTGGCCATTTTGAACTATTCTCTGACATTTTTTAGTCAAAACAACATTTGGATTCACCAAGAAAGCGGCTGTCAGAATAAGAAATGGTGATAAATAGTCATCAGTTGCAGCTTTAACTTCATACTCGCCAATATTTGTTCTAGTTCGAGGCCAAACGCTTGCACAGGAAATACAACAGGACTTACAGTCACAAAGCTAATAGTTGTCACTCGTTTTATTTTTAAAGCAGCTGACTGGTTGTACATGAGCAAAACGTTAAGGTAGATGAGTATTGTCTTGTGATATATTCATTTAGATTACAGTTACAGCAGACATCTTCTGAAGACATTGCTTTGGGCTATGGGACTGTGTGTTCAACTATTTTCTGACATTTTTAAGCTCAAACAGTTGGATTAACCAAGAAGGCAAGAATCAGAGTAACATATAGAGAAGATAACCATTAGTTGCAGCTTTAACTTTAGATTTAAAGATACAGGAATACTCAAAACTCAAGAAGACAGTTGGGAAATATAATCAGCTGTATGATAAGAACTGACTCCAGAATCAGGAAGCTAATGGATGTTGTTTAAAAGCAGCTGATTGGTTGCACATGAGCAAAAGGTAAATGGGTTTTTCTTATGTCCACAGTCTGTTTAGACTTCTGTCTTCCTGGTGAAATAGGTGATAGATTCATTTAGATCACAGTTACAGCAGTTGCAGACATCTTCTGAAGGCATTGCTTTGGGCTATGGGACTGTGTGTTCAACTATTTTCTGACATTTTTAAGCTTAAACAGTTGGATTAACCAAGACAAGATTAACATATAGTGAAGATATTCATTAGTTGCAGCTTTAACTTTAGATCTAAAGACACACATGCCATCTCTTCTGCAGTTCTAGACCAAATGAATACTCAACATTTAAAAAGATAGCTGGGAAATATAATCAGCTGTGTGATAAGAACTGACTCCAGAACCAGGAAGCTAATGGATGAGAAGCAGCATTCAGGTAAATGGGTTTCTCTTGCGTCCACAGCTGTTTCCTGATGCTGCCCAACCAGCCAGGTGGAGTGAAGGAATGTGGGCATGGCAGGCCAGAGGAGGACCGGTGTGTCTGCCTCGGACGCCCTGCGGCTGTCTGACACACAAACACACACACAACACAACACAACACACGGGGTGTACTCACAGTCGAGGTGTTTCTTCTTGGGTCCGCTCACTTCATGTGTGGTGGCTTTGCACACAGCCTTGCTGATGGCCGACCCGGTCATGCTGTGCTGCGCTGCTGCGATCCGATCCGTGATGGATTGGCCCGACATCGCTCCTGTTTCTCTCGCTGCCGCTCGTCTCCCCCCAATCGGCTAAAATAGCACAATAACGATCCGATCAATGGATCAACTCCCCGCGGGACACAACTCAACGTGACTTCCCTGTCAAGCGGAGGTAAAGGGTTTCGGCTCACACACCCACAGCTGCGTTGAACTTGGCTTCCAGGTGCGCAGGAGACCTGTGCAGTAACGTGAGATCACAACAAACTGCAGGTACGAGATCGATGTGATCGGCTTCCGCAGCTGAGGCGCAGTTTTCCTCTGTGGTTAGATTGTTTGGCAACAGTTTGTTCCGTCTATCTATCTAGTAAACACGACAACACTGATCTGAGCTAGTCTGTGTTAGCTAATGTTTCCGCTGCAGCACTCGAACCAGGAAAGAGTCCCGCTGTGGAATTTGTAAACACTTGAAATTACTTTCTGGCCACAAATAAACATCGCTGGTTGGTAACCTGGACGATCTGTGAGGGTTCAGAGAAAAGTCCGCCTCTGGGAAGGTTAGAAAAAAGTAATCCTTCTGAAATCACAGCTTGGAGAACATCAACAACAATCTCGACAATCCAAAAAAAAAAAAAAAAAAAAAGAAAAAACCCTCGAGTTCCTCCTCCACGTCAACTTGTTAGCTTGAGCCGTGTAGCTTCACTGGTCGCTCGGCAAAGTGTGTGTCAAAACCCCCCTCGGCCGTAAAAAGTCACTCACGATCGAGCAGCACATTGTTTGAAGTCCCTAAGAGGTAACTGTGACGCTGACAGCCGGGACAGGTGCAGTTTCTGGCGCTCAGACGAGACGCGAGGAGCGGCGGGTGTTAGCCGAGCAGCTAGCGGGGTTAGCTAGGCAGCCAGAGCGCGAGCGGAGTCTGTAGTCTGTGACCGGAGAGCGAAGCCGGCGGACCCGCTAAGTTAAAAATGACAGCTCCCGTAGCTCGCTGGTTCCCGTTCACGGTCCTCGGGCTCAGTTGGTGCTGTCCGCGGGCTGCCGCCACCACATCATCGGCTGGTTTAATATCCGACAGTCTCGTCCGGTGCCGCTGAGTGAAAAGTCTCGCCAGTGGTTTCTCTTTACGGACTGACTGGCTGCTCGCTGCTCTGCCGGACAAAATGGCAGCGTAAAAAATCAGCTGATCTCACAACTGTGCTGCGTTCAGGGCCGCCTCACCGCCCGGGAATTTACACAGCTTCATGAAATTAAAAGGTTAATATTGTAGAGTCTTAACCTTTCTTTCTTTCGTTCTTTCTTTCGTTCTTTCTTTCTTTCTTTCTTTTACTAGGTGAGTTCATTTAGAACTGGTTCTCAGTTTCACTTGCGACCTGGTCAAGAGGCGGCACACAAACAAGATGAACAGCACAAACAGGTTACAAGTACAACAACACACAATATTACAAAACAAATTATGCAAAGACTTGTACAATGGAGAGGCTAAAAATAAGCGCAGTGGTCCTAAAGTGTTGCTCTAACTGATTTTTTTTTAAACTACTCGAGTGCTTAAATTAGTAGCAGTATTTAAATTAGTCTGGTGTATTTACATAATTATTAATAATGTAGGGTCTTCACATTGACACTTACTTATTCAGACATATTTGTATTCAATATATATTATTATAGGGTTTTAAGCATGATACTTAAATTACTCAGGTAATAGATAACACTAAGGCGTCCCAACATTAACAGTTGAACTTGTTATGTCAGACTGTTTTATTTCTCTCCTGTAAAGAACCTGGATCCAACAGTTTTTGTTTTAAATGAAAAACTCTTTGTGCATTTGAGTCCTCCACTTTTGCTTCTTGTCGTGATGGCCAAGAAACTTAAGCTAATATTTAAATTATTAGTTGATTAATTCAACAGAAATGTCATTACTGATGGGAAGGTCACAGGTATTTGTCCTCACCCCCCAATCACGTGGCTCCTGGATGGTTCATGACCACCACCATAGACTAACATGCTCTGAGGTGTGAATGTTGGTGAAAGTGCCTGAAGAGGAATCAAGACTACATTATAAATACCTGATGAGTTGAGTTACCCTCTGTTTATAATTTCTGTTAAGACATTCTTTCACTCGCCTCCCAAACAACCTCTGTTCAGAATGAGGACATTACAGAAACAAAAGTGTCCCAGATTCTTCAGATTGTCTGAACCTTTTTGTGTGTATCGTATATGCAGTCCAATGCAGTTACACTGTGAGTGAGGAGGAGATGAGGGAACAGCCATCTATGCTCAACTGGAACAGCCATCTGTAAACAGAGGAGGGGTCTATGGCACCACTTATCAGGCCCTTACAGTGCAGATCCCTCCCCAGGCGGGTTCACTTCTATTCACACCTCGAAGCATGTGAGTCATTAACTGGCCATGAAACATGTGATCTGGGTTTGACAATACCATGACTCAGGACTCCCCATGTGGTAGTTAGAACCAACAAAGCCTCATGGATAAGAGGTGAAATATCCTCAAGACCTACAAAGAAGTCCGTTTGTCTTCTGCTGAAACACTGAGGATCATTTCCTGATGAAAAAGCTTCTTGTAGAGAAAAATATTCTGCTTCATATCACTATAAACTGGATTTTGGATTTGTGGTTGGAAAAAGCAAGAAACTTAAAGATATATTACTAGAAAAAAGATATATTAATATATTAAATAACACATCAAGCTAACACACTTGTCCAGTCTGATAAACATATAGGTTTTATTTGAACTAAGCTCCAAATTGTTCTGTTTCTGCATCAATATAAGATGGAAATGTCTTGATTTATGCAAAGGAAAACACAAAACTCAGGCACCAGGTTGACAATCCAAAATATAATGGACTATAATGCAGTGAGGCTCTCAGGCATGCTGTGTCGCTTTCAAATATTTATTCTCCTGTAGATAAGGTTTTCTCATTTAATATTATCCCTGCTGAGTCAACACACACATACAGGCTGGATTTACTCTTCTGTCCTCTTTTGTTTGGGGAAGCAACCTTTGAAAATCTGTCATGTTTTTTTGTTTTTTTTATTGGAAGGGGCCACAGATGCACATATTCTAATTATCAACGAGGACGCATCCTCTGCAACGGCAGTAAAATCAGTGGTTTAGTGTCTCCACAGGACACGGCTGAGTGTGAGACGCATACCGGAGTAAACAGTGAATGATGAAGGGTTTGTACGTTTTAATTATTCTCTGTCAAACACAGGTGTTAAAGTGATGTTAAAAGCTTCTCTGTGCTTCAGGGCTGGGATGAGATGAAGAAAACTTAGATCAGACACAGGCTTTGTAATGTTTTAATTGATTTATAATGAAACCAAACTGCCGAAATGTGGACAGACAGCATTATGGTGTGGTAGGAAAAGTAAAAACTATAATAGCTTAATGTTAAAATGTCTTCTTGCAATCAGTCTCTTGGAGAACTGTTGTTACATCTCAGCAAAAAAGAAGAAGGAAAGGGAAAGGTTTCAGCTGATGTGGGCTCACTTGCTATTTTACCGACGGTTCCTGAACGCCTCCGGGGTCCATTGGCCAAGACTTGAGGAGTGAGTGTTGCCTTTAAGGTGTCACGGTTTCAATTGTAGAGGAATTTCTAAAACAAACGCATCAAATTTCACATCTTTCGACATCATGAAGGCTTTTGTGCTGCATTATGACACCAAGCTGCCTTTAATCTCTGCGCTTTCTCTTTATTGAAGCCTGTTTCTTGGCGCCGCACTAATCCAAATTTAAGGTGGTATTCAATAATTCCTCAGACGCCGTGTCCTTGTTTGACTCCAGACTATATGGAACACGGTGTGCTGAAAAATCAGTGGGAACCGCTCATGCTGCACCGCGCACAGCCCGGTGGGCATCACACCGGATCTGAGGGATGAATAAATCAAATATCTGGCGGCTGGAGACTGTATTTCACACACTGTAGCCTGCTGCATGCAATTAGATGGCAGGCTGCTGGTCCCAGTCATCAGGAGTGAGCTTCATTACAGCTGCCTCCATGTAAGAAGGATGTCATCATGCAAAAGCTCCTAATCTGATTCAGTCAGGACCCGACCTGTGGCTGAGAGTCTGACTGATACCAGAACTCTCACATGTCTCTGACAGTTGCAGGTTTTCCTGTAAGCTGCCTCTCACACAGTTTCATTTCAGTTTGCAGTATTTCCCGCCCGGCTGAGAAATTCTGCACACTGACCCCAGCAGCAGCAGCAGCAGGTGAATTCCTGGGAACCACTGCTGCTTTCGACCTCCGCTGACCTCCCCTCGCCTCTGCTTCTCCACAGGAGAGAAAATCCTCTCCAAGATGCTGATTACTGATTCAATGAGCTGTCAGGAGCAGGAACAGAGGACTCTATCAGCACACAGCCTGTGCATGTCTCCACCTATATGAACAACTGTCTGCGCTCATCTGGATTTTCGCTCATTCACTGTGGTGTCTGTCGAGAAACGTGCATGCTGCAGAAAAGAGGAAACAAGAAATGCAACCACAGTAGATGGAAGTGGTTAACAGCGCAGGGCTCGGTTCCCAGTTTTCATGCCCTGTGTCACAGCTGAAGGTACGCCAACATGCACAGAGGAAAAAACAACCTCTTTCATGTGTCGTAACAGCTGCGACACTGGACTAAATCAACTGCTTCCATTGTAAAAGACTGTATTATTGTACCAACTGCTGGCCTTAATTTCATTTTTTTCTCAAGACAGATAGATATATGACCAAAAACAAAAATCTCTTTTGGCTAAATCAGCATTGCACACAAGGGATGGATGTGGAGCAGCACAGAGACTGGCAGGCAGACAGTTACACTGATGCCTACAGGGAATGTGGAGTCTCCACCTGACTTGCATGTAATTGACAGGAGCTGCAGCACCCAGAGGAGACAAAGGTGAACTCAGGGTGAACATGCAAACCATGAAATCAAACCCACACTGAGGTCTTCATGAGACGCCAGCCACTGATTTGCTAAGCTGCCCTGGTGCCTAATTCATCTCTCAGCCGCCCAGGACTCGTCCCTCCCTCCTGACTCGGAGTGCAGTGTTGCCATCTGCAGGCCGAAAGCCTGAACTCCCTATTTCCATGGCAACTGCATGTGTGGATGCGGGGAGCCCCCGGTAGCCCCTGGCAACAGGCTTTCGGCCGGGATTGGAGTCCTATCAGCAGCTGTCAATCACCACAGGAGCCGATGCTTTGCCCAAGGCCAATGTGCTCCGAGAGATAGGAATAAATCCATTACCGGGCAATTGACAGGGACGGGATCACCTGAAAACACTTTGAGAGACAAAGACGGCGACGGAAGGACCCCGAGGTGCACACAGTTCATCCATGAAGTGTAAATGGACTACAGCATGTCAGGACGGATAGCTTTCAATGTGATTACCATGATAGTGATCGATGGAGAAGCTCAGCATCGGGCCGTGTGCGATAAATAATGACAGCTGCTGGGTGTCTTGACCTTTACGCTTCAGTTCCTGAGGCCTGTGCATGAGGGAAAGTTTCCCCTGAAGCAGATCACAAGCCAAGATGGACAAGATTTCCCAACACAAAATGATTCCAATAAAAACAGACTGGATTATCTACATCTGACAGAGCCGTTTGACCTTCTAAAGGCTGTAATTTATAGGTGAACCTGTCACTTCAAACACAGGGTGCAGCTCTGTGAGGCTCCCCGGGTCTGTTTGTTGTCCCTATTTAGAACGGAGCCCACATGCACTTTAACTCCAGGGACTCCAGCTTCTTCTTAGAGTTCAATAGTAATCATAAGCTTTACTCAGTGGAGAAGTTGAGTGTCATTTCCCCAATAATAGTACAATAAATCCGGATCAACTGTGGAGTTTCTTGTGACTTATAGCGCACATGTTCCTCCATCCGTCTGTGGATCTGTGGACAGAACGCAGCACAACTTCAACCAAATCCATCACATTTTATTCACATTCATACAGATTAGAGCTGATCCGAGTCTTTGCAGATGAGAAGGAGATGCATCGAACATATCAAAATAATAATTATATATTATTGTGTATAATTATAGAACAACATGCATAATATATAATTATACTGTTTGTATATAGTAATTATGAGCAAATGTATAATTATTATTTTAAAACAAAATTATACTAATAATAGAGAATAAAACAATTTAAAACAAATGCAAAAAATAAATAAATATGTGCATTAATTTACATTAAAATAATAATGTCCTCAGAACTAGGTCCAGGTTTTTCTCATTTACGTTTAAAAAGTGATTTATACACAATTATAAAATAAATTCCATTCTATATAATTTTTAGATTTAATTAAATCAAGAATCATTTAATTTATTTAAGACACCACAAACTTTATTTCTACATTGGCATAGAGTTACCAGGCACAAAGGAAAATGTGCAAAGTCACACACAAGTCTGAGTAATATATAGATATATAATGAATGATGTATTACCAAACTACAGGTTTTCTGTAAAATCCTCTTGATGCAATTTGTGTTTGTGTCCAGACACAATGATCTTTATATTTGTGAGTTCTACAGTTATTTTCCTGTTGATCAATCATATAAAAACTAAACAGATTTCAACATTTCATCTCACAATAACCAAATCACATTTTACATACCGATAAAAAGCAACACGGCCAATTATCAGCATCTTTATGCAGCTGTGAAGCTCGTATCTGTCTGACAGTCTGTCAGCAGCAGATTTCAGATCAGTCTGAGCTATAAATGTTGAAACTTGTATAAATCAATAAGAGCTTTCAACTTTAAAAACTTCATTCATTAAAGTTCCTCTGCGCAGAATTCAGATTTATTCTTCTGTCAACATGCTGGTGTGTGTGATGAAGTGTGCGAGAGGCCGTGCATTTGTTTGTACATGTATAATTCTGGACTAAAATATGAAACGGTGCCGCTGTGAAGCCTCCTGCCTGCTCAGAATTCTTTCAGATCACTTATTCATTTATCCGGCTTTTAGGAGATTTGAATCTGTTGAATTATGAGACTGATCAAGTTTAATTGGCGGCCGTCTTGCAGATGTGCTCGGTCCATTATTCAGGCGGGCTGAGAGGTGACCCATCTTCACTCTGAGATGGTGTTTTCATATTTATTCAGCGGCAGATGCAGACGGCACCAACAGGCAGATAGAGCGGAGTTAAGAGTACAAGGGTCTGACTGAGAGATGAATTAAAGGAGAATCGAACAGGGCAGAGCTATAGAAGAACTGTCAGGCTGTAATAAAGAAAAGGGTCATAGCTTTGCTTTCTATCCTCTTTTATTCATATAAACAAAGACGTATGTTTGTGTCTTCAGTTCTTTGTACATGTACAGTAAAAAATAGATAAACTCAGTAAGCCGAAGCAAAAGCATGTCGAGGCGTAAAACCAGTTTTAATGCAACACACACGTTGCTCACGTTGGGCTCATTTGCATTAGTTTGTGAAACAGCTTCTTAAATTGGTGCATTTGCATATTAGTAATTGGAGCTTTCAAGTGTGTGCGCGGCCACATGCGACTGTCATGGACTCTACAGGTTAGACACTGGGCCACATGTATGGCTGCTATATAATTACGTGTCTGTCAGACCCTGAAGAAGACCTTGAGTTGACATGTGTGGGTCTTTTTGTTTGCCTATGTGCTTAAAGAATAAATTATAATATTGTTTACCTTGAACACGGAGAGCCTCGGTGTTCTTCCACTGGCTGTCTGCACCGTTTAGTACCGAGAAAGATCCATATGTCAGTATTTATGCTGTTAGATTTATTCTAATTATTGGGTTGTCTTTATCCATTTAAAATAGCTTTTTTAAACTGTGGGTTTAGCTTGAGAGCACAAAGTATTACATTCAATTTAGAATTAATGAACATATGAATTATGAAAGCTGCACAGATAAAAACGATCACATTACCAATGGAATAAATGACGGCATGTCATGTAACGTGTTGCTGATGGTGACAAACCTGCAGAGAACTAAGCTCTCCTTTACTACAAAAAACAACCAAATGTTTCAGCAGAACAAAAACAACTAAATAAATAAGTAATACAACAGGTTGTATCAATATTTAAAGTTATAATAACCTTTAAAGAAATGATGTTCAACTCACAAACTACATTTTGTTATGAATTGTAGCATAAACACACATTTAAGTTAATTACTCATTAAAAAGTCAAGTTGATTAAACTAGTATTTCCATTAATTTTAAAAAGGAGTTGTTCTGCATTTAATTATCAAAATTATAAACTCAGGTTTTAAGTTGGCAAATAAACAACAACAAAAAGTCGCTCTAATGTAAAGTAGGTCGGAGAGAGAGCTCGACATTCTGACCTATGAATTGTCAAACCAAATTTATTCATTTAACGCACCATGAATTTAATCTAAATCAACTTGTGCAGCCCAACCCCTTAAAAATACAGTTAAAAAGGTTCATCTAAATCAGTAAATTAGAGCGTTTACGCTCACATTAATCATAGCAAACAGCAGATGAGACCAAAGTGAGAAACTACCTGATGAGCACAGCAGAGCAGCAGCAGCTAAAGAGACCAAAACAGAGCTACAAGGAGAGTGAAGAATGAAATAAGACTCTGACTTGACTCCGATAAATGCTAACATTGGGTCTGCTAGATGTGTAATAAGGCAAATGTTTGCTAACACATGCTTTTTGGGTTTTTACTAATGTGCTCTCTTGGAGCTTATGATGTTTTACAAACTCATTATTTGACACAAACCGGTTGTTCGCAGCGTTTCTCATGCTGATCAAACACAGATTCTCCGTTAATAAGAACCTGTACAGCCGCGTCTGTCTCATACTTGTCAACAATTTGTGGTCATTTTTCTGTTTGTAGTTTTCTGACTCGGGCACAAAACGATGCCAACAAAGCTTTTATGAACTTGGTTCTTTTCCAACACTGGAAAAAAAAAAGAAAGTTCAGGTGAACGCTGAAAAATAATGTGAGGTCTGGGCAGGCAGGGGAAGGTTGGGAGTGAGGCCAGAGCTGTCGATTAGTGAGCACCAGCTACTGATTTGTGCACTCATCTTTTATTTCCTCCCTTTAAATGTCACCCGTCAGGCACATTGTCTCTTATGTGAAAGTCTGAGGTCTCGAGTGAACGAAGCCAATTCACAGGTGTGTAGATTTTACCTGCAAACAAAGTTAAACGTCCCGCTTGACTTGTTTTCTCGCATGTGAGTGACTCTAAGCGAGCCAGACAGAGGCTGATGGCTTCACACCACTCCTGCCAGGGCCTCTGATTCGGTGCCGACTGGGACGGGCTGGCAGCAGCCGACGCAGACGTATCTGAGGACCCACAGGTAGACGCTGCCAGAGAGGACGACGGTCAGGCACAGCAGCATGAGGCTGGTGAAGCCCTGAGCGCTCGCACTGAACAGCACGACGTGGGAGGCGTGGATGGAGTCATCGCTGGGCTTCTGGCCTAGAAAAAGAAGCAGGAGAGACAGGACTCATAAACAGAAGCTTTTCTTGGGACTGAGATGAAGCAGAGTTTAGTGTCTGAGCGGATGCTGGGAACTGACTGCAGGACTGAGAGTCCAGAGCCAACTTTGTGCGACTGGACCTCACAGCTTTGAGCTAAATGCCAGTCCAAACCTTTGTACCACAAACAGTGTGACTATATCCCTAAAGCCTCGGTAAGGATGAAAAAGATAAGGAACAAACAAGCCCTGCTAACTCTGTGTGTAGCTCCGAAAGCTGCCGACACACCTGTAGACTATCTGAAGGCTGCAAAAACACACTTGAGACTGTTTGGAGCAACGTGGACAGATTTTATAGGTTATGACTGAGTAGATACACAACAACAGACCAAACAACTCAGACACAGTAGTGACCAGAAGATTTAGGAGCTGAAATTCAGCAGGAACGCACATTCCTGTATGAGCTGGAATCAAAACAGACGTTGACAAGATGTGCGATTTTATAAAGAGAGAGGAAAAGGGAAGAAAACAAGTATGAGTTAAGCTCCTGGATGGAGAGGCTTACTGGACTTTAGAGCCCACAGAGGGAACAGGAAACAGGAAAGACTGTTGATTTACTGCTGCGTCTCCTGTAGCTGACATACAAGACACACGGTCAGTTACCACTTGAGGTCACAAATATCACTTAGGTTTAAAAAGAATGACTTTTAACAGATAGCGCAATGAAAAAGTACCCAACCCTCTTCTCATTTCTGCTATGTTTTTTTTTCTTTTCCGCAGGACTCTCATACTAAACTTAAAGCAAATGCAATCTGACTAAACACAAAATACAAGTTTTAAACGATAATTACACATATTGAAGCAACACCACTAATTTAAAAAAGTAATCGCCACTTGAGCTTAACAGCTAGTTGTGCCACTTTCAGCAGCAACAACTCTTCTTTGCACATTTACAGGTTGATAGCTCTATTTGGGACGTCTACTAAAGCAAGTTAACCTGCTTTAATGTTGTAAAAACAACGAGGGATATCGGCCCGATATTGGCATAAAAATGCAATATCTGTCAATATTGTTATAATTTTTTTTGCCGATAATGAAAATCGCTAAAATAACGCCTGGATTCCGCTGATGTGTAAATGACGACAACATCAAACTGCGTCGTGAGGCGAGTAAACAAGCATGGCTGCTGTAACAAACACATCAGTATTGGTTGATAGTGGAATTGGAAATTGAGAGTTGGACAACATCGACATATCAGATACTGGCGAAAAAGACAATATCGGACATCCCTAAAAAAACAAAAAAAAACAGGAACTTTTCCATTTTAGCTGCTGTCTCTCCCAAAAATCCCAGTCTGCTGTGATTGATCAGTGGGCCCAAAGAAAGGGAAGTGATGCTGCTTATGCACCGTAAACCCAGACTTATCGGTGTAGGGACGTAGCTCTAGCAGAAAGGTAGTAATGGCAGACTGCTAGGTGGCCTTAGACTAGCCATGATACAGCTGTGATGTAACTGTGCTACTTGGTGACACAAACAGGCAACAGAAGAAGAACCTGGACTGTAAATTCAGGACATTAATGAGCGTCTGTGGGAGAGAATAACCTCTACTGGGGTGGACTTTTTTTGCAGACCTTTTACATGCAATAAAAGCAGCTACAGCCCACTGAAGCAAAGGGGAAACCTCAAAAAGCATAATATGGGCTCTTTAATACACTTCCTCCTGAGGGGAATGTGAATATTTGCACCAAATTTCACGGCTATCCATTTGTCAAGATCCATCTGGTAGGGCTGTAATCATTTCTTACGTAACTTGAAGACTTTGATCTGATGACGGTGTTAGGTCGTGATTACAGTTTATCCTGAGGGGACCACGGGTGTCTGTTATTCTACCGAAGAATGAAACAGTCAGCCTCGTTGTGGTAATGAAGCGATGATGAACTCTAGAAACAGCACAGCTCACTGCAAAAAGGCAGAACGAACAAAATCACAACGATGAGGAAAGAAACAACAGTCTGTACATTTGTTCTGTGCAGGAGGCGTCACACATGCTACCAACTAACTAGTAGTTAAAATTCCTGCTGCGCGGCGACCGTCGATCGCTGTATTTGAAATGTATATGAGGATGACGGAGTGCATGAACAACACAAAGAGACAAGGAGGAAGACGGTGGTCAAGGAGGCCACAGCTCATTTTAGCCTGAGGGCCTCCTCGCAGGTTAATCCAGTCATGATGGGATGTGATCTGAAGCACTAAACAGGCTCTCACACAGAGACACTGCAACAAACGACTGGTTTACGCCGCTGCAGAGAGAAGACTGGTTCCTTATCAACAGCCTGTGGACAATCATCAGGCAGCATACTATTAAATAAATGACTTTAAACAAAGCTGCAGTTTCATCATCCAAAGTGGACAGAAGGAGAGAACTGGGAAAAGCAAACATTAGACACAGTCCGAGCTTAAATGTCACTTTACTTTTTAATTGATGTTTAACTAAAGCAGAAAACCCAGCTGCCTTCATTTCTGCTACTCGACACGGTGCGAAATTAGTGTGGTAAAAAGCTTTTTAGTCCTCTCTCTGAGGTAAGACTGCAATTTACCACTTACGTCTTGGAGAGCTGAACATCTCTTTAGCGTTGACCTCCAACCTCGAAGCGTGTAATTGTATTTTGTCCGACTCGCCATAAAGATGTGCGCCAGTAAACAAGTGAATTAGCAGAGGAGGGAGAGACTCTCAAACATGGGCTTCAAGTCCAGTCATCAGCAGGGTTTGAGTGGATCTTTAGTCGTAGGAAGTTGGAATTTAAGCATTTGGATTGTATGGATAGACATTAATAACCTCCCTTTTTTAACCACACTAGCAGCACGGCTCTATGGATATCTGGTGCATCACTGTGGTCCTGACTGACATTCAGGGTAACATACTGAATCAAAAAGAAGGCCTAGCTTCCCCTACTTTAAACAGCAAACTCATGAGCAGGAAGCAAACCAAAGATATAATCCACCCAGGGTAGCCACAAAAACACACTAAACTGAAATTAAATGAAGCAAAATAACGCACAAGAATCAATCACAGTAAACACTTAAATTCAAAATAGCTAATCCAATATATTATATTATACATATTATACACATTATCTGACTGAACTTCAGTCAGATAATGTGTAGGATCCCGGACGAGCCCCCATGTATGTTACAACCTGGATTATAGGCTGCAACGTAAACTAGAGACCAACACCAGAGTTTAAACTTTTTTTTAAAAATTCATTTCAAGAAATAAATAACTTAACCCTTCCGACAGTATAGCTCGCTACACCGGGTTGGCATTACGTCTCCTGTTAAACCCTGCAGCCCGGTATAACAGGCTCCGGTATAGGGCGACTTTCTGTTTCATTCACTTTGATTGTCTATCAGCGGGAATCCTCGAATGTGAACAAACGATTCAGTCATGAAATAAATTATGTAAATGAAGTAAAATGACGTTGTTTGACCCCAAAAATCACCAGAAAACTGGATTTTCACTACCTCGTTTCCAAAATGTTTATAACGCCTTTGGCTGATGTCTCAGTATGTAAGAACTGATAATTAATTGCATACATCGCTGGTAATTATGAAGTTTACCTTTTATTTTTCACACCTGTATTTCACCTGTACGTACATGACAAGAGTATATTTAACTGTCAACTTGTCTGCTTTTGATTGATACCAGATGTGTAATGATGTGAAGTCTACTTAAGAGTTTACGAGTGAATAGTCAAAACCATATCTGATCATGAATTTCAAGCAAAGTCACTTAGTGTTGAAAGGATTCAGTAAATCTAAAATAATGCAGGCAGCCATGAGGGCATGTGAGCTCCACAGCAAGAGTGTGTTGACAATACAAGACGCTTCAGGGTTTTTCAACACAAATCAGAGACACAACACCACGTGATTTTTGACAGACATTCATGGTCTCCAGAGGATGAATCCCAACAGCTTTGTCACTCGTTAGTCCAATTTGCTGAAATAGAGCAGCATCTATTATGTGGATTAGCAAAAAGAACTGTACAGACGTTCATGGTTCCCAGATGATCAATCTGAATGACTGATTAGCTTTATGCTGCTACCGCTAGACATGACTTTGAGTGAAATGTTTCAGCAACAGTTGCATAGGTTGCTCGATAATGTGCTCCAAACATTCATGCTGCCAAGAGGATGAACACTTGATCGTTCATCCAGCTCCCTCGTCAACTTTTCATTTGTCACTTTGGGCCAAAAGGCGACACGTTTGGTGTTCAATCAGCTAAAATTGGCTCGTGTGGCTCTCCACTGGTGCCTTGTTGCTGCTCGCATTAATTAAGTCAGTGGTGCTCGCCTACAGGGTGGCACAGCGGCCATCTTTCTGAATTAGGCTAACGAGCTTTCCGGTTTTATTTGAGCTTCAAATATTGCGAGAGTCAAACTCTTCTTTTGTGTTGTGCCTCCATGATGGACTTGATTCGTTCAGAAGAATCTCTCTCTGTTTTTGTGTTTTTTAGAGAAGTCTTATGAGTGTTGACGCACAACCTTCATCCAGCATCTATGTTATATGAGAGCTTATCTTCAAAGCATCAGATTGCTCGCTGCTCACTCACCTCTGCTGACGTGTGAAACCAGCAGCAGACTGACGAAGATCCAAACAACAGCAGCAGCCACCTTCATGGTGGACTGGATTCACTGGGAACACAGGAAACCACCAGGTTGGTTATCAGTTACAATCCATTTAAACGACTGACTGAATAATTCAACAGTCAAAATTAAATTACAGCTGATTTCAATTTAATTTTGTTTAATGCTCATTTTAATTTAATCCACAACTAATCCCAAAATAATCCTGGTTTTATTCAAATGAAATGCACTCTGACAATAGTGTGAATGCTGCATATTTAACTTATCAGGAGACACACAAAACCCGGATATAAATAGCATTATTCACTGAGGAGGAGAATCCACTCAGACATCCTGTAATGTGGGCAAGAAAAGACGCATTTTTATAATAATTACAGGTGTGAGGAATGGATTTCACATTCTGAAATGCAAAGAGAAGGAAAGTCAATCTGTTGTTTTAAAAGATATCATCTCTAAAAACGTAGAACCTGTGGCTGAGATGTAAATAAGAATTAATTACAATCTTGAACTGATGAAGTCTTATACGGCATAAAATGATGAATATAGTAAATAAAAGTAAGTCCAGTTGAATGGAAATGCACAACGACATGAACTTGTGGTGCCGGCAAACGAGAACAAGATGGATGAGTGAGGGCAAAATGGAAACAAGAGCGCATTTGTTCGACAGAAACAAATAATCAGCTCTGTTTGTCCAAACTCACTGAACAAGATGCAGGATCTCTTTCCTGTGCAGCGGTCAGCCCTCTAAGATGCAACAGGTAAAAGAGAAAACAACCCCGCCGACAGTCCATTCCTTCTGAAGAAAAACAAATCGATTCATCCAGGAGGTTTTTCAGCCGGCATCTGCTCCGGTCACAGACGCCTCTATTTGGTGGAATTAGCAGCAACTTCTATGACTGATGCTGCTTTCGTCTTGAGCTGGTTTTGGACAGCGTTGCTTTGCAGCGAGGTGATAATGTGAATCACTGGGAGGAAAAAAAAACAGTGGAGCATGTGAGAGAGAGAGAGAGAGAGAGAGAGAGAGAGAGGAGATGAAAGGAGTGTACATCCAAAAATAGCAGCCACTGGGGCAATCAGAGAGAATGCAGGTTTCCCTCCTCCACCAGGGGCAGGGGAGACAACAGAACAGACAGAGAGGAAGCTGCATCACTGGAGACGTGGATGCAACATACAGGCTACTTTAAAAACATCAAAAACACACACATCCAGTGTTCAGACAGAAAACATTTCACAGAAACATTTGACTGAAACCACAGTCAGCTGCTCCCTCTAGTGGCTCCTGCACACACATGGAATTGATTTCAAGATCTCCGATGGTGTGGAGGAACAGATGGCACGAAACTTTCTATTTAAAGCTGACATTTATGAATCCTGCAGCATCCTGGTTTCTATCAGCTGCTTACAGGAACACTGGTTTTGATCTGAAAATCAAAGACAATGCATTGAACGATATGAAAATAACTGAGGCCTGAACCTGATGAAAAGTCAAACTTCTCACCAGCCCTGTTAATATTTCTCATTTCACCCTGTTCTTGACTTGGAAAAATACAGCTCCCTCCCTCATGTCAAACTAATACGGCATTCTGAAATGGTCCTTTCTAGATTCATAGCTACAAACACAAACACTCTGAGGTGACTCTGATTTCAACCCACTATCTTCACAGAGGAGCCGAATGGAACAATAACTGGTGGCACCACAATCTGTCAAAGCAAAGCGTAAACATAAAATCAATGGTTTTTTGTAGCCGCGCCAGGGATTTAGAAAAACGCCTTGATAGGTGTTTAAGCAGAGAAACAACACACACACGTTTCAGAGATCGCTCCACTGACCCTTTTCTCTGCTGTGATGGACCAAGACGTCCAAAAGGTTTTCAATTCCAGGTGGAAAATTGGCAACGAAAAGGACCTGAAACATGGTGCAAATAATATGCTCTGAATCTCTAAAACACCAGGAAACCACTTGTGCAAAAGCTACACCGGCTACTACAGTGAGATTAGCACAGGACAGGGTATTTATATATTTAGTTGTCTTAATGTGCACTAGTACAGAGACATTTTGGTTGTCAGGGTGACCACGGTTCACAACAGCCCTGGAGAAGAGATGCTGCAGTGTGTGAGGGGGAAAAGTTCACCTCCATGCAAGACATCCATGTACTTATGAATAAATACTAAAAACTCTGACCATGTGTGATGAAAATGCACCAAACTACAGCAGCTTATGGCGAAACAACACGATGCACAGTGATGCTAGTGCTGCAAATATCTTAATGGGAAACGGAAAAGTCTCCCAAATGAAAAGCTTGATAGGACACAGTCGTCCTCCAATGTATTCATCCCCTTCCATTAAAGACAAGGCAAAACTCATGATAGTCACTGAAATAACCAGAAACTGAAAAAAGTAATAATAAATAAAAATTTGCTAAATTATAGTTTAGTGAAATAAGACGTTGCTTTTGGATTGTGGTTGAAAAGAATAATTTAAAAAAAATACCTGTCAACAGGTGCAGGAGTCTGACTGAGAGTTACAGAAACACCTGATGGCAGTGATTGGCTCAAAGGGTTGTTCAACTAAATATTAGTTTACGGGTCCCATCATGCTTGTTTTGTTCATATATTTCTGTTGAACCACAATTCAAAAGCAATGTCATGATTTTCATTAAAGTTTTATTTATTATTACTTTTGTGAATTTCAACTTATTTCAGGTTTTTCCTTCTTTAACGGGAGGGTGTGAATACATTTGTGCACCCATGGACATAGCTGCATTCACTAAAACTTGGACATCAGTGAATGAACTTGACCTTCCAGACCTGGGATGGAGAGTTCAGCCCAACATGCTGTTTTACATGATGTCCCATGAGAGCAGGTTTCAAGCTACAGAAGAACACAGCAGCACATCAGAGACATGAAGCAAAGCAACGAGAGAACGAGCTAAAGAAGGAGAAACAGTGAAAATAAAAAATGGATGAACAGGAATGGATTCTCATTTCATCCTCACTGTTCCTGCTTTGAGAACAAAGTGGCTTTGATCTTTAAAAAAATTAAGCCTGTTCATGCATTACTCAAAATGGTGCAGAAATTAAAAAACACAGCGACTGAAAATGAGCAACGCACCTGTTGAAGAAGGTGAAGCTTCCAGTAGAGGGTTGGCGACTCTGGGCGAGAGGAGAGGTGTGGTTCAGTCTGGACGGGTCACGAGTCCATCGCAGCGCTAACACAGAGTGACAGACA